GATGCCAAGACCCTGAGATCATGACCTAAGCCGAAGGTAGATGCTTAACCAACTGAACCACCCAGGCGTCCATGGTCCAGCACTCTTTGAAAGAATGAAACATCCATCATTCAGCAGTGTAAATTCTACAATGTCTGACATCTAATCAAAAATTACCAGACATGCAAAGTAGCAAAAAATATAATTCATAGTAAGGAGAAAACTGAAATGCTAGAAACAGACCTAGAAACAATATGTTTGATGGACAACAACAACATAAAACAGCTATTATCAATTTAGTGTTCATGTCCCAACAATATAAAGGAAAATGTGAAAATGGCAGATGTTAAAAAAAAAACCCAAGTTGAACTAGAAATGAAAAAGACAATAACTGAAGTATGAAAAGTACATTGATTAGGATTAACAACAAAATAGATAATTGTTGATTTTAAAAAGGACAGTGGAATAACAATAGAAACTGTTCAAACAAAGGCATGGGGAGAAAAAAGACTAACAAAGAAGATGAGCAGAGCATCAGAGACCTTTGGAACAGTATCAAGCAGTCTAATATATATATATCATTGAAGTTTCACCAGGCTAGGGGCGGCAGGGAGGGAGGAAAGATGTAACATCTAAAATTTTTTCAAATTTGGTGAAAATTCAAAGCCTATAAATATTTAAAAATAAAAAGTTGAGAAGCATAAAGGAAAACCACATCATAATCAGATTGGTGAAAGCCAGTAGTGACAAGAAAATCTTAAAAGCAGCCAGAGAGAAAAGACTCATTACAAAGAAAGGAACAAAAAAGATCAGGAGACCTCTTGCTGTGCACTATGCAAACTAAAAGACATCTCTAAAGTTTTGAAATGCAGAAGACGTCTCTAAAATGTTGAAAGAAAAACTACCCATTAAAATTTCTACACTGTGTGAAAATATCTTTCAGGTATTAGGGGAAAACAGACATTTTCACACTAAAAAAAAAAGTTTGGGAGGTGTGGAGAATACATCAGCAGTGGATCTGCACTGCAGAAAATGTTGAAGTTTTACAGGCAGAAGGAAAATAAAATCAGATGGAAATTTGGATCTATGCAAAGGTGAAGAGATGAAGAGTACTGGATATTATAAATATGTGGGTAATATAAAATATTTTTATGTGCTTCTATATAGGACATATATGTGTGTATATATATCATACTGTTCCTCTATATTATGTGGTATGTGTATATATGTGTGTGTTTGTGTATAATATAAATTATACCATTTATGGTGTTTCTGTATACAGGCAACAAACAGTTGGAATTTAAAATTTAAAATCAATACTATTTACAGTAATGTCAAAGAACATGATATACAAAGGAATAAGATTACCAAAATATCTGTAAGACCTAACTTCAGAACTACAAAGTAGATTTCAGATTTGTGATCTAGCACATAAGGAGTTATCACTCCATTCTAACAAGTAAAAAGCTCAATAAACTGGAAAAAATCAACACCTCTTCTTAGATCCATTAAAGAAGTATGGTCCCAGAGCAAAATACTGCCCCCAAAATTGGAGCAACAAATGGGCAGAAATGGTAATCACAATATTTGGGAACTGGAGCAGAAACCCAGAAGCAGAAGCTTCCATGGGAACCAATGCCAGTTTAGGAAAATGTAAACTAATTGCTGAAGGCTCAGAATAGACAAATCAAGAGTTAAAAACTCCAGGGGGAGGCCCATAGTTTTGTGTTTTACCTCCAAGAGCTCTACCAGGTCCTGACAGTGAATGGAGAAAAATCCCTTCATGCTTGCAGCAGCCAGTTGGCAAAAGGAACCTTTTGAAATATACCAGACCACTCTGTTCTTAACAAGGACTGTCCTAGGGAGAAACTACTACTAGAACTTAACCTACCTGGGGGAATGAAATCCCCAACTCCTGCTCCCTCTAGTTTTCCATATGGAGGAAGTGAATACCCAACTATAGCAGCTCCAGCCATCTGTCCCACCTAAAGGGGGTGGGTGACTAAGAAGTGCTAGTGAAGTTCACACTCCAGGGGCATAGACTTACTTAAAAGACTGAGAGCTAATCATAGGATTAGTAGAACCACTGCATTACCAAAGGCCTGTTTATCATAGGTCCTTTTATCCAGGACATCGGGTCCACCATTCAACAAAAAATCACAAGACATACTAAAAGATAAGAAACATGATTTGAAGAGACTAAACAAGCATCAGAAGCAGAGTCAGCTATGACAGAAATGTTTAACTTGCCAGACCAGGAATTTTGAAAAACTATTTGCTAAGGGCTTCAGTGAAAAAAAGTAGAAAAAATGCGAAAACAGGTGAATAAATAAGCAGAGAAATGGAAATGCTTGAGATCAAAACTAACAATGAAGAATGACTTTGATGGACTTATTGGTAGATTAGATACCTCTGAGGAAAGGATCACTGAGCTTGAGAGTCTGACAATAGGAACTTCAAAACAGAAAAGTAAAGAGAAGAAAAGACAACAAAAATATCCAAGAACATGGGACAAAGTACAAAGGGAATAACCTAAGCATAATGGGAGCACCAGAAGGGTAAGGGAGGGGGTGTGCAGAGAGAAAGGAACAAAAACAGTGTTTGAAGCCATAATGACTAAGAATTTCCCCCAAATTAACATTAAATACCAAGCTCAGAGAACACTAAGCAGGATAAATACCAAAAAACTACATTTAGGCATATAATATTTAAAATTCAGAAAATCAGAGATAAAATCTTGAAAGAAGCCAGAGGAAAAAACACCTTACCCATAGTGGAGCAAAGATGAGAACTTCATCCAACGTCTCCTTAGAAACTATGCAAGCAAGAAGAGGGTGGAGTGAAATATTTTAAAGTATTGAGAGAACAAAACCACCAGCTTAAAATTCTGTACTCTGTGACACTGTCCTTCAAAAGTGAAGGAGAAATACAGACTTTCTCAGACAAACAAAAATTTAGGGTATTTGTTGCCTGTAGACCTGCCTTCTAAGAAGTGTTAAAAATTCTTCACAGAGAAGGAAAATAAGCCAGAAAATCAGATCTACAGACAAGATCTTTGAAGGAATGAGTGAAAGTAAAATAGAAATTTATTTCTCTTTTTAATTGATGTGACAGTTTGTTCAAAATAATAGCAACAGTGTATTTATGTGTTTGTGTGTGTGTTTTAAATGAATAACAGCAGTGATATAAGGAACAGGTAGGAGAAATTAGGAATATTTTGTTATTGTAAGGTAGTTCCACTACTTGTGAAGGAGTATAGTATTATTTGAAAGTGGACTTGAATTAGTTGTAAATATATATTGGAGACTTTAAGGGAACCACCTAAGAAAGAAGTATAATTGATAGGCTAAGAAAGGACAGAAAATAGAATCATATACAATGCAGTTTTATTCATAATTGCCAGAATGTGGACGCAACCAAAATGTCCTTCAGTAGGTGAATGGATAAATAAATCATTACATTCAGACAATGGACGTTACTAAAAAAGAAATGAGCCTTCAAGCTATGAAAAAACACAGAGGAAACTTAAATGCATATTACTAAATGAAAGAAGTTAGTCTGAGAAGGCTATATACTGTATGATTCTAACTACATGACATACTAGAAAAGGTGAAACAATGAAGACAGTAAAAAGATCAAATACTGCCAGGGGCTAATGAGGAGAGATGAATAGGCAGAGCTCAGGGATTTTTAGGGCAGTGAAACTATTCTGTATGATACTATAATGATGGATATGTATCATTATATATTTGTCAAAATGCGTGGAATGTATACCAGTAAGAGTGAACTCTATCGTACTGTGGTCTTTGATCATGATAATGATGTGTCAGTGTAGGTTTATCCTTTGTAATAAGCATACCACTGTGCTATAGAATTTTGGTGGGGAGGCTTGGGTGGGGAGGTTGGTTAGGGACAGTAAGTATATGGGAAAATTCATTATTAATGTCACTTCACCCAAATCATTCTTTACATTTAATGCACTCTCAGTCAAAATCCTGGCAGCCTTTTTTGTAGAAAGTAACAAGCTGATTGAAAACTTACGTGAAATGCAAAAGACTTAGAAGATGAAAGCAGTGTTAGAAGAACAAAGTTGGAAGACAGACACTAAGTTTAAGACTTCTATAAAGTTATAGTAATTAAGACAATGGTGTTGTCTTAGGATAAACCTATAAATTGGTGGCCAGATTAGAGACTATTATATATTGTCCATTGGTTTTCAACAAAGAGGCCAAGGTAATTTATTGGAGAAAAGATAGTCAGCAGCTGTTGCAGGAATAGCCAGAGGGGAAAAGTGAACCTCCCCTCTTACCTCACACCATATACAAAAATAATTTGAAATGCATCATAGACCTAAGTACAAAAGCTAAAAATTAAAAACATCTGTAAGAAAGTGGTATAACTATGCATAGCAATTTTATGGGCTCATTGAAATTTGTGTCAAGATCTTAAAGATTCTGATTTAAATATCAAACTCATGAAAGTGGAGTCAGGGTCAAATGGGAGCAATAACCGTAATGAGCGTCATTTACCCTCTCTCTTTAGTAAATGTGTGGTCAATATTTCTACTATAGTGATATAATGTAGAATCGTGGCAGGACTAATTTTTTAATAGCCTTATTTGTCACAGTCCTATAGCTATTAAGAGTCAAAGTGTCTTACTGGGTTTTTTTCAGTTATACTTTTCATTTTCATCAAGGCAAGTATATGTACTTGCCTTGGTGACTTTTGTATATTTTGTACATTTATGTATATTGTATGCTTATAGGTTATATATTTGGATTCATTGTAAATGGGTCTCTAGTAAGTTTTAAGGATCCATTATTGGACACTTTTGGTCATGTAACTGGCAACATATGGGTTTCTTGAGTATTTGGTTTTATCTCCAGTTCCCCACCACAATTGTTAGATTAAAATGTGTCAGTTATGAAATGGTAAGTCAGAAGAATTCTAACCATTGACTGCATGTTTCAGCCTGATAATGCATGTTTAGTTTATTTTTGTTTTTAATTTTATCATTTTAGTAACAATGATGATGTTACGTTGATTTCTGTGGAAAGTCCTAATTTGACAACTCCAATTACATCAAATCCAACAGGTATCTTAAGTTGATTAAAATATGATCTATGAAATTAGAAAGGCTCAAATCAGTATTTGCTTAAAATAGAGAATTGAATATTATCTTTCATTAAAATAAAAATTTTAATTCTTCTTTCAAGTGTTTTAATATATATGTAATTATATATTATAATTTAATAATATGATTAATATTATCTGAATAAATAAGTGATTCCTTCATATAATTGAGGTTTCTTTCTAACCTCGTGTTTATCAATTTATGGCCTTTTGTTTGTTTACTGTGTTTAATGGATTTGTAAGGTACAAAACTACTTAACCTTTCAAATATTTCATTATTTTTCTGTGTTTGCTCTGGCCTGTGTTGGTGGTAGTGATTTGGTTTTGTCTGTCTTTTTGTTTTATCTTAAGATTTAAAGTTTGGCTATTCTTTAGCATCTTTGATTTTTTTTTAACTTTTGGTTTTTTGAGAATACTTTGTTCCTCTTTAGAGTTTCTGTCTTATGAAAAAATCTTTACCCTCAGATTTCTAATAAAGTTCCTCTCTCTTAAAATGGCTATCTTGTTGGCCTATTAAGTCCTCATTCAAAATTTCCCATTTCCTTTTCATGTTTTACTATTTTAGAGTATTTGCCTCTTGATTTCAGAAAGCTTTGCCTTCACTTACAGAGCCACTCAATTGCTCCCAGGGCTCAGACTGTTAAGATTGTGAATCAGATATTTACAAGGGATATTAAGCATTTATCTGAGGTTTTCTCCTGGTTCTAGATAGAATGCTCCTCAGTCATCTCCAGAGTCTGGGTTAGAGATACTGTGAATAAAGAATATGTACATTTCCAAGTCTGTTTCCTCAAATGCCATATCAATTTACAGATGGATTTTCAAAAAAGAGTTACTAATATAGTTGTAAAGTTACAGAAGGACAAAATCTTTTGAATCCAAATTAGATTTTTTTTTGTTTGAATTGGTTCCTTGGTCTTTGGAATAGGTAATGTCAATTGAATTACTTTTTTGTGATTATGTAATAAATGGTTAATGAGCATCCTCATTGTGTTTCAGCATTCATATGTTACAAAGTTCATAAATGTTTAATAGTTTACTAAATTTGTCAAATGTTGATATTTTAATGATTTTCTTCCAGATACTGGAAAAACTACATCAGGAAATTCTAACAATTCTAATAATTCACCTGGTGCTGAAACAGAAGTTACGGTAGGTAATAAATGTTGTCTCTGAATGTTGTTTATTTGAGTATGTTAGTTCTGTGAACTTTAGTGTCGCTACCTGGGGGGATGACTTAGTTTTGTCATTCATTCTTTGGGAGATTCTTTCTCTGTGAAATTAATGCCTGACTAGTTAGCATACCCAGGTTCCAGGCTAGCTTAAACATTAAAACAGTGACAAACATATTTCACAACCATACTTATTTACCACACTAACTCAGATTTTGCTTAGTCATATTCTCAGAAACCATATAGTATTTCATGAGCTTCTCTCTCCTAATAGAGTTAAACGGTAAGGACTTACAGAATATTCAGTCTCCAGCTTCTAAATGGCAATTTAGAATCTGTGTTTTCTTTTTTTTAAATATTTTCTGCTATTGAGGCAAAATCTTAGTTTTTTAACAACTTTTCAGGCTGTAGAGAAGAAGAAATTTGATTCTGTGATTGATCTGACAAAAGAAGCCCTATCAGACTGCAGCACAGGTAAGAGATTTGTCTTTCCTTTTAAGAAAGAGGGAAGGTAGCAGTTCAGAAAGTATTTGACCCATTTATAAAGTTTTAGTGTGTTAGTGTGTGTGTGTATATAGCTCTATGCAATTTTGTCATGTACAGATTCACGTAATGGTCACCACAATCAACTTGCACAACTATCCATGGGTGTTATATGATGATATAGTATGAGTCTTTTTGAGATTGACTTCTTTAACTTAGCATAATTCCCCCACAGGTCCTCAGAGTTGCATCAGTAGTATTGCTTTTTAGGGTTGAGTAGTATTCCATGGTGACTATGTATAATAGTTTATGTGTTCACTCACTGAAAGATAGCTGGATTGTTTGGGAGCTATTATGAATCTCTTTTCTGGTACATACCTTTTTTCTTTATATCAATAGCACTGTGAGAGGGTACTAGGGCATAACATGAAAATGTAGAGGAAAGAACGACAACAGTGCCCTCTTTCTCAGATTTAAACAGGAAGAAGTAAAATATAGTCATCTGGGGCTAGTCATCAGTTATAGAGTTTCACCTCTTAATAACTGCCCTTGAATGTTTTTGATACTCTTGATAAAATCTTGGAATATCACTTATTAGCATTAGAAAATTATGTAATATTTAAAAATGGAGAGTAGCATAGGAAATATATAGCCAGTTCCTTCTCCCCTTTCAACTGTGGATCCAGACAAAGGTTAGAACCATGGGAATCTCCAGGTACCTCATGACAGAATTAAAAAACCCTTCAGTTTCCAGTTTCATGATGAAAATTAGAAGTATAAATTTGAGGGGTGGGGCGCCTGGGTGGCTCAGTCAGTTAAGCGTCTGCCCACAGCTCGAGTCATGATCCCAGGGTCCTGGGATCAAGTCCTTCATCGGGCTCCCTGCTCAGCGGGAAGCCTGCTTCTCCCTCTCCCTCTGCCTGCTGCTCCCCCTGCTTGTACTCTGTCAAATAAATAAATAAAACCTTAAAAATAAGTAAATAAATTTGAGGGGTTCCTGGGTGGCTCAGTCGGTTAAGCGTCTGCCCACAGCTCGGGTCATGATCCCAGAGTCCTGGGATCGAGCCCTGCTTCCGGCTCCCTGCTCTGTGGGGAGCCTGCTTCTCCCTCTCTCTCTCTGCCTGCCACTTCCCCTGCTTGTGCTTTCTCTGTCAAATAAATACATAAAATCTTAAAAATATATAAATTTGAAAAATGATTTGTGAATCTATAATAATTAGTTACTTTTTAACTAAGATTATTAAATCATTTCTAAACTATAGGGTACAAGATTTAAGATACAGTAAAATAAAAGGTATGAATACAGATTCATCAGTGCTTTCGAAAATAAAGCAGACCTCTAAGTTGTGGGGGCCTTCAGTTTGAAATCTAGCAGTTGGACGGATAGATCATGCTAATTCATGCTGCTGACTCATGATAATGTGAGTCTGTTCATCTTGTAGAGTGTCCAGTTCTGAATAAAGGTATAGTTTGTCAGGTCAAACCTGGACTGTTTCCCATATTCCCAGGCTTAATGAACAGTATCACCAGCTCACCCAGTTTCCCAAGCTAGACATGAGTCGCTTTTGACTCTTGGATCTGCCTCATTCCACTGTGTAGTCAGTTTTCAAGGCCATCAGTTCTGTCTCCTGAAAAGCTAACGCGTTCAGTCCATATATTTCCTTATTTCAAAATTCCATCACCTTTAGCCTGCTCTACTGCCATAACTTAGTAACCAATGTTTCTACCCTTACTGCTTCTAGTGAGTCTCCCAAGCTGCCACTAAAACACTACTTCCTGTATATAAACCTGGTTATGTTTTTGTTTTTAGGATAAAATCCAGACTCCTTAGAAAGATAGATAGAATCCTTACTGACTTAGACCCTGAAAACTTTTCTAGCTTATGTTCTACAAATCCCTTACCTGTGCCTTAATAGTTTCTCAATAGGTAATGCTTCTCCTCTCCTTACCACCTCTGCATGTGCGGTTCTCTTTGCTAGGAATGTTCTCCTCTCTCTGTCTCCGCAGGTGTGTCTGATGACCCCACCCTTCATTCTTTCATATTCACTTTAGACACTTAGGCTGGACTGTTCCTTTCAGGCTCCCCTTACCATTGGTATTTAGTGCACATCTGTATTGTAGCTATATTACATTGCTCTGTCATTGTTTCTTTACATATGTCTTCCTGAAAGGACTCAGTTCTTTTCAGTGTCAGCGGCTTTATTAATCTGTAAGTTTCCATCCTTTTAGCACAACGCTTAGCACATAGTATACTTTTTCCAAAAAATATTGAATTAATGCAGATTTTCCACTAACTAGTTTTAAAGGAAATATAAGTTTACATACTGTGAATGGGAGTGTAAATCTTTCTGGGAGACCTTTTGTCAACATCAAAAACTTTACAAATATGTAAGCCTTTGACCCCAAAATTCTTTGAATAGTTACCTAAAGAAATTAAGTATATAGGGAAGTATAAAAATGTTCATCACAGTGCTGTGTGTGAAAAATAAAACTTTGGAAACCCTTAAATTTCTAGAAATAAAGGATCAATTGCACAAATTAGATTTATATGATACAGCAGTATTCAGCCATTAAAAATAGTGTTGTAGAAGTATGTGTGTTGATGTAAATGTGTTAGTAATGTAACGGGAAAAAAGTCATAAATGTATATGGAGAGAGTAGGATGGAGTAAAGGGCCCAGACTTAACTTTTCTGCCATAAACAACTACAAACTAAGTAAGATGTAATAAAAAAATTTTCAGATATTGCAGTATAGGACTACAGTCCCTGAGAGAAGGGAATGAATGAGATGAGCTGTACAGAGTGCCCAGCTTTCCTCCTAGACTGCGGTGCAGTGGAGGAACTCCCAAGCAGAGAATGGCTGTCTTGCTGAGGTGAGGAAACAGAGATTCATTCAGAGAGGTTGAGGCAACCGGAATGAAGGGAAAGAGTATAGTGTCAGAAGGAGGGAGCCACTCAGAGAAGGAGCTCCAGGAGGTTACCATAGAGTCCTCTTCAATTCTTGCTGAAGTATTAAGCCACACATGCATGGAGTAAAACCCCAGAAATCTTGGCAAAGAATGACCAAGGAGCTTTATGCTCAGAGGTGGGAAATGTTTCAGTTCTGACCAGCTGTAGTGGCAGATTCTTACTGAACATCTGGGTATAAACTCATCTTAGAACAAAGGCAACTGTAGCCTTACCCTAATAAAACCAAAAAATAAGCTTTGAAAGGATTGAGCTGAACTACATACAACTCGATAGCTTATCACACAGCCCACTGTGTTCTGTTAAAAGAAGAGAATGGAATTCAACACACAACCATTTAAAATTTATAATATCCATCATCCAATTTAAAAAAATCACTAGAGATACAGAGACCAAAAAATGGAATCCATAACCAGGAGAAAAATCAGTCAATAGAAACAAACTTAGAAATGACAGAGATGACAGAATTAACAGACAAAGACTTTGAAAGAGCTGATAGAAATATGCTCAAAAGGGCACCTGGCTGGTTCAGTCAGTAAAGCATGCAACTCTTGATCTTGAGGTTGTGAGTTCGAGCCCTGCATTGGGGGCAGAGATTACATAAATAAAATTTAAGAATTAAAAAAAAAGAAATATGCTCAAAGATAAAAAGTGAACAGGAACAAAATAAGAGAAATAAAAGATACAAAATAGAACCAAATTTAAAAAAAGAAAATACTTAAAGTTCCATGGATGGAATATAATCAGCATATTAGACAATGAAGAAGGAAAACAAATTGGTAAACTGGAAGAAATAGTACCTGACCAAATAGTTTGGAAAGAAACTATCCAAATTAAAGAAGGATTTAAAAGAGAAAAGGAAAAAGGCTGGAAAAAAGGAATCAGACTTTTAATGAACTGTGGGATAACATCAAGTGGTCCAACATACACATATGGTCAGAAGTCTTCTAAATTTAATGAAAAGTACAAACCTACATAATTAAGAACTTCAGTAAATTCCAAGCAGGATAAATACAAAGAAAACCATAAACCATAGCAAGGTACATCATAATCCATTCCTGAAAACCAATGATAAAAAGAAAAATCTTGGGGCGCCTGGGTGGCTCAGTCGGTTAAGCGGCTGCCTTCGGCTCAGGTCATGATCCCAGAGTCCTGGGATCGAGCCCCGCATCAGGCTCCCTGC